GAGCCGTCGAGCATCTTCACGGTGAAATCTCCGGATGTGACGTCTTTCCAGGCTGTTAGTGAAACACACAGACAATGTTAATTAAACCAGACACAAACGAGTGTTTTTTCATGTGTTTTGTTGGTAAACTGCAGCAGTGTTTGCTTCTGGATTAATGTCTTCTTCCTCTCTGAGCAGCCTTCCAGCCCAGGACTGGTTCCACTGTGGATAATGACTCTCTGACCAGCTTCAGCAGCATCTTCACAAGATCTTTAGCTTCTGTTCTGGGGTTGATTCGCACATTTTAACCAGAACACTTCATCTCTGGGACACAGAACCCGGCTGGACATTCCCATGGTGGTTAGACTTGATATAAGTGTTTGAACAGATGAACGTGGAACCTTCAGGCATCTGGAAGCTGTACCCAAGGATGGACCAGACTGGTGGAGGTCCACAGTTCTGCTAGACCCGATTCTTTAGTTGGAAGCCCAAGAACAAGCCAGAGAAATCTTCAGTTCTCAGATGTAGAATTTATTTTTGGTCACAGGTAAAGTTCTGCAGCGCTGGATTCAGAGGGACAGAGAGGAATCTCATGTCCAGCTGGACTGAGGTTTTTCTGGTTCCAGGTTCCAGATATCTTCTTGGTCTGGACCTGCCCCGAACATAGATAAGATTTGTACTCTTGTCCAGTTACCAATGGCGTGGGCAGGCATACCTCTTCTGTGCTCTGTCCACGTCCTTGACATTTGGTAGCAGCATGTGTGGATGTTGTTGGTACGGCGTGTAGCTAAAGTAACAATCCTATCTGATAGAACAGAGGAGCTTCTTCTGTCTCCAAGTGTGTGAACCGGTTCTCACCGGCCACATTATCTTCAAGGACATAAGCTAAGTGCAAAATACAAACTCAGAATACATAATAACTTGAAACTTAATTAATTATAAGAACCATAGGCTTCATGAAAAATACAGACTCAGAATATCTAATGGCTTGAAACATCATTAATTACAACAGTTCTCTTCCTGATATCTTGGCTGATTTCTTTAGATGTTCCATGTTGTCACAAAAGCAAGCAGTGTGTTTGAGGTGTGCCTCCAATTAACTCAGATGTTGTCAGTTAACCAATCAGAAGCTTCCAAAGACATGACAGACAGTTTGAAGGCAGAGTAATCTTAGTGTAAGAAAGTCATTAAAAATATTCTCTCTCTCATTATTCTGGCGTTCATCAAATAGGAATAATGTTGGTGATCCTGACTGACCTGAAACAGGAAAAGTTTCGTCTGATTTAATGTCAGACGGTGAGAGAAAAAAAGGTTTTGTGTCTTCTTCTACAGTGGATGTAAACTTCAACTAAGGTTACAACTTCA